ATCTGATCTGGTTCCTGCATGATCTGCTTGGCCATGGTGCCCTCGACACTGTAACCAGTAATGATCACACCGTTCTTCTCACTAGGTGCCCAGCGCTCTAGCAACTCTCGGCTCACACCATTCTGGAGCATACCAGGACTGGCAAGCATGACACAGCCACCCACGTCGTCGAATCGGTCGAGGTTCTTCAGAGAGCGGATATACTTGAAGTCCCAAGGTCCACCCTTACCAGCACCATCCCCAGAAGCCTCGGCCTCAGCCATACGCTCACGGAAGAGACGCTTGATGTTGTCGTTCATGGCACCGACATAAGTCTGGTAGACAAGCATACACTTTCTCGCCAGGTTACTGGCATAGTAGATGGGGTATTTTTGGAAGTCAGAATGTTTGCCCCAGTACTCGTCAAGAATTAGGAGGAGCTCTTGGGCACGTCCCAGGGCGAAGACGGGCATGAGCACACGACCACCTCGGTTGAGGATGCTCGTGATGGACTTCATGAGGGCCTGTTCTCTCTCCAGACGAGGAACGTGGGAGGCAATGCCATAAGTCGACTCAGTGATGAGAACATCAATCTTGACGCCCTTAGGAACCTCTGCCGAAACCAGATGTCGATCTTGCTCTCTCGAGTAGTCTCCAGTGAAGAAGATGTTGAGCCCACCAATCTCGATGAGGAACATGGCTGCACCGAGCACATGGCCTGCTGGGTAAGGTGTGATTCTGATGGAGGAGATGGTATGGGTTGTATGATAGTCGATAGCCTCGATCTGCGGGAACGTGCTGAGATGGTCCTGCTCCGTGTAGATGGGCTGTGAGGTTGGATTTGACGATGTGTTGCCCACTCGGACACTATCTTGGATAAGCCATTTGTAGATGGCCTTGGTAGGATGCGTCATGAATACACGTCCTCTGAAGTTGGTCCTTGCGAGCACATATGGCAAAGACGCCGCATGGTCAATGTGAAAACTATGCCCTGTTAGCTGTAATCCTCATCGGATTGCTCTGGTCAGGTCGACGACGGGCATTCTAGGACAGGCCGGCATCACAAGGACGAAAAGAGCAGGGACGTAGGGGAGCGGGAAAGACTGTATTGTATTGATCTGGCATACAAAGCGAAGATATCACACGAACACGATACAGGTCGCGGACAAGTAAGGTAAGTACTGTCCGTTCCATCACATCACATCAAGGTCGTCCCTCGCCCTGTCCAGCCTATATCGTCGCACGAGTGGGAAGAAGGGGGCGGCTTACTGGCTGATTAGGAGCACATCGACAGTGCTGAGATCGAAGTCGTCATAGAAGGGGAGGGCTGCGAGCCCATCGTACGCAGGGTGCTGGCCGGCATCAAGCTGGTGATGGCTGTTAGACGGATCCTTTGTTTGAAACCTCAACCGCTTACCATGACCGTCTTTCCCTTGTACTGGATAATGTGACATGATCGACCGACTTCGTTACCGCCTCCCAAGCAGAGGAACATGAGCTCGTCTGAAGGGTCTACGGGCTCCTCCGTCGCGGCCGCGTTCATCGCCGATGCCTTTCGTTTAGATGCCATTGTTGCGCGGGCGCCTGATGTTGCGACCAGTCGCATCAACTAGGGAAACACTAGAATATTAGTACAGAGCGGCCCCGAGCAACACGCGCATGCAGAGGGCCGTGATGCACAAAGAGCGACAATAGCAATCAATCGCAGGGATGGATGAAGCTTGAATGCCTGGAATTGAATAGGTAGGCGGGCGTCGCGGGCATAAAAGGTTAACGCGCTCAATGGCAGGCGGATAAAATCCGGCCTAGCCGTTTGTGGCTTCCTAGTTGGGAGGGAGGCTCTGCTCCGAGCACGTGACTTTAAAACTACGCGACCTTCGTTTTGCAGGCAGAGCTCCCTCCTCCATAGCCTCCCCCAGCGAAGCATCATCTCGACTCCACGACGATATTCAACAGCCCCATCTCGCGGCGCGGCGGATCTACCTTGTGCACCCGAAATTGCCTCTTTCCGATCGCATCGCCAACTTTCCCCAGAGCCTGGTCGAGATTGAGCGCGTCGAATGGGAGGCGTCGCGACTAACGTGACAGGCTCCTCTGCCTGCTGAGCTAGCACCTACTCACCTCTGCTTCCTTCCGCCTCCCGCTCGCACCTCAGTCACTCGGCTCTGGAGTCTTGACCATGGCTCAACCTCAACCTCAGGCGCAGGTGCCGCCGCGCGCATTCTCTCCCCCACAGCCCACGCCTTCGCCCGCCGCGTCACAATCGAGCTTTGCACTCCCACCCCAGAAGCGAGTCCGAACCGACGGTCCTCCATCGCAGCCCGAGTCGCCTTATGCTACATCTCCCTACGCCGCGAGTCCCGGGCCTACCGGAACGCCTCCTGCCGCCGCGAATTCTCCTGCGTATGCGCATAGCCCTGCTCTGCCGCAACCCTATGCCACGCCCTATACCAACGGCCATACCACGCCTGGCCTCAACCTCCCAGACGCACGACCGAACTCGACGCCCCCGATTCAAACACCGCATCACCCGCCCATGCCCCAGTACACAAACGCGACTATGACGCCTGTACCCGTGCCTGCCGTGGCCCCCGTTGTTGCTCCAGCTCAAGGGGCTGGAGCCATGGGGCCGCCACAGAGGCCAGCCGAGCGTCCGACAAAAGATTATGAGTACGACGTGACAGACTCGCTTGCTGGTACCGGCATTGATCTACGCGCTGAGGAACAATACATGAATGAGCTCTACTCAACCGGGTTCGACGAAGCCAGGACAGGATTCGCCCAGCATCCGCCTGGGGGCAAGGGGAGCTTCTACGGCGCAGGTCCTGCGAACCAGCCTGCTCAATCAACGCCCGACCAGAGCCAAGAGCAGTTCGCTGCCCAGCAAGCAGAGAGAGCTTGGTCTGAGTCTTCGATGCGACTTGCTGTGCAACGAACTCAAGAGATCGGTGATCCGTTTCTTATGGTGGCAACGCTTCACCGACGAGCGGATAAAATCGCACGAGAGCATCATCTCTCTCTCAACTTGGATCTCAAGAACAACAGTCAGACCATGGGAAAGATGAGACTGCCAGAACAGTTTCCTTACCCCAAAGTCAACATCAAGACTGCACAGGGTCCAGACGCTGCTCTAGTCCAGACGACAGGCTCCTATATTCCCCATGACGCATATCTGGTTGATCAGCTGGCGTTGCTGTCGATTGCATCCAAGCAAAGGCTTAGAGGGCTTTTGGAGGACGCGCACGTTGTGGCGACGAACCGGCAGAAGACGTCTCACGGCGATGTGCCTGAAGACTGGGCACCAGCGGCTGCGCCGATGAATGCGGAGCCTCTGCAGCCAATCGAGAAGCCAGCTGAGGGCGCAGATGCGGCTGGAGTGGAGAGTGCGAATGGGGAGGGCACGAATCCATTGAAGCGTGAGTATACTCGTAGTAACATGGCCAGTTTCATGCTCACACTATACAGGCTCTGCCGACGGTGCTGGATTGACAAACGGGGCTCCACCTGTCAAGCTACCAAAGATCTCATCTTACATGACGACTACGATGCGCGATCTTGCGCGACAGGAACGTGACTGGGAAGAGGCGCGGTTGCGAAAGCGACAAAAGCGCAAGGACGGTATCCCTGACTCTGGAAGCACAACTTCGCGTGCTGGCAGTGTGGCTCCCGGTACTCCTGGAACCACAGCTCCAGAATCGCAAAAGACCATGACCAAGAAGGAGATGAAGAAGAATCAGCAAGCCAAGGCAGCTGAGCTGGACAGTCACCAGAGTCAGAACACAACGAGTAGTCTCTTTGCTGGCCTGGGAGGCAAGGGCGGCCTCTTCGGCAAGAAGAAGACGGGCAAGACGTACGACTGGATGAATGTTGGGCGTGGAGGTAGTGGGGCTAGCACACCTACAAGAAACCCGTCCGGACTCGGTAAGGGAACGGCAGGGTCGGCAGCGGCGGCGGCACCGGTCAACATGGCCATGACGACGGAAGGACGCAACCGACTTGGAACCTGGCGAGAAGATAAGGAGAAGGGCAGAAACATACAACTACGGGATTGGGTCTCGGTGTTGGAGAGGGATGGGCGTGAGCACAAGGCACTACAGGGGGCCTATCTACGCTTGGACGCATCAAATCCCAAGTGAAGCCATCCAAGCTGAATTAAAAAAAAAAAAAAGCGGCGAGTAATGGAAGTGGACAGCAGAGGAAGCCGATGGAAGAAAAGGGGGAGAGACGCAAGCAAGGCGAGGAGGGAGGAATTGAGGAAGATACCCTGCGCCAAAGTCTGTTTTGTGACGTTTTAACAACTTAGCCTGGCGTTTGTTGTGTTGTGTTTTGAGGCATAGGAAGAGGGACAGGGAAATGCAGTCTTTTTGCATTCATTGCAAGGAAGCATTCAATTTCGAGATGTTGTCTGCCTATAGGAAAGGATAGGACGGCCATTGCCATGTGTGCCCATTCAGGGAGCCCAGTCTTATCTTTCTTGTAGTACCTTTTGGGGCTTTTGGGTATCATGTCAAGCCCAGTAGTAGCTCAAGCCAAGCCTGTAGAGTCAGGTTAGTGAAGAGAATTGTCAGATAGGAAGAATTGATCAAGCAGGAAATCTCTTGATGCGGAGATTCGGGTGAGGCATTCTCTATCGTGACGAGAACATTCCAGTTGACCAAAAGGGAGAGTCTCTATCTTGGGAGTACAGAGTGAGTGTGAAGGCTGCTCTCGGTCTGACAAATGCTTCACGTCTTGTGTGGAAAAGTGGGACTATGGCGGCATCACGCTTCCCCTCTCTTCCTCTCCTCTATCAACTCTTGAGGGTATTTGGAAAGGAGTGGCTCAAGATACTTGCCCATTCCCTTGGACCTTGTGAGCAAAGTTGACGCCCTTGAAGAAAACAGCCACAAGTTCTGGCCCAAAAAAAAGCCCAACTCAGGAACGTTACACAGGCATACTCCCCTCAGCCAGTATCACTCAAGGGAGACAGCCAGAAGAAATCCTTCGTGTTATAACTCACATCTCAAATACAATCACTCACAATGGCGATTGCGGTCAGTTTTTTTCGCATCCAAGACAGACAAGGGGGCACCCCCTGCTTTCCCGCTGGCATGGACCAGAACTGACCTCATCCCGTAGGCTGTCGGCCAGATCTGCTCCACGGCATCTGTCAAGGGGAATCTGGAACAATGTGTGAGGCTGGTGGCGAAAGCCGCGCGTGGAGGAGCCAAAGTGAGTGAAGAAGAAAGAAAAAAATGTCATGGTCGACGTATTAGAGGTTGACATGGTGAGACAAGTGTTTAGCCAACAAGAGACATCCCTAGATCGAGATCAACGTCTGGGGAAAAGGGAGGAGATTTTATCAGATCTCACACAGACGCTTTTTGAAAAAGGGCGGACTCTTGATCGAGATATGGTTCGTCTTGAGCCGTGAGACATGGCCAAGGGCCGATTTCTCCAAGACATACCAGCAACCCCCTCCATATGTCTCTCCTTTTTTTTTTTTTTTTCATGTCTTGCTCTTCCACAACAGCGAGATACACTCGTTATCTGAGCGACTTGCTCACACGGTATACATGACAGGTACTCTTCCTCCCTGAGGCGTCCGACTACATCGCGCCCGACGGTCAGACGTCTCTCGAACTCGCCGAGCCGCAACAGACGTCGCCTTTTGTAAAGGGTCTGCAGGATGCGGCGCGGGAGCACAGCGTCGCGGTGCACGTGGGCATCCACCACCGTCCCGAGCCCGAACCCGGCGCCGCCGTGCACCGCATCCTCAACCGGGCGCTGTACATCGGAGCCGATGGGGCCGTGGTCGACTCGGCGTCGTACGACAAGCTCCACGTCTTTGACTATGGTAACCTCCGGGAGAGCGCCACCGTGCGGCCCGGCCCCGCACTCACCCCGCCGTTTGACTCGCCCGTCGGCCGGATCGGGAGCCTCATCTGCTTCGACCTCCGATTTCCGGAGCCGGGTCTTCTACTCTCCCAGCCGGGGCCAGGCAGCCCTTGGGCCGGACGTCCCGCGCAGGTGCTAACGTACCCGAGCGCGTTTACGCTCCGCACGGGTGCAGCACACTGGGAGACGCTGCTGCGAGCGCGGGCCATTGAGACGCAGAGTTACGTGGTGGCTGCGGCGCAGGTAGGACGGCACAACGAGAAGAGGGCCAGCTGGGGGCAGAGCATCGTTGCTGACCCCTGGGGCCGGGTCGTCCTCAAGCTCAAGGGTGTCGTTTCCGACCCGAAAGATGTGCCAGAGGGAACAGCTGAAGAGGGTGCCGTGGGAGAGATTGGATTCGTCGAGATTGACATTGATGGATTGGAGAGGGTCAGGAAGGAGATGCCTCTTCAGCGGAGGACGTGAGTATCCCCTGATACCATGGTGTTGCGGCTGGATTGCTGACAGAACATATCCACAGAGATGTTTACCCCGAGTTGACCGCTCGCCATACTTGACCAGTAAAAGGAGGCATCTTGACCGCACTGTAAGGTCACGTTGCAAGGCAAACAAACACAAACCAAATCCATGCTCGTTCCCAGAGAACCGGGCCAGCCAACGGGAACGGTTTCCGCATAAGAACCAGTTAGCGTAGAGAATAGAATGGGCCATCTCGACAAAGTACCATGCTGTCTGTCCCCTTGCCTTGTTTGCCTTGTCGGTGACCCAAGAGTCCAGGTCTCTTTTTTGAAACTCGGCTCGAGGAGATTATCTTATCCACCAGACGTGCTGGCGTTGGGCTTTGCTGCACCGAGCTGCCGGGACGAGATTCACCGCCCTAGGTACCAACCTCTCGGGACAGCCGCACTGCCGGGGGGTGTACGGCATATAGCAAACATGTCCCGGGGTGGGTTAATAGCGGTGTGCTTTTTGCTGCACGGAGTATAGGCTGAAGATTAGATGCACAGCGGGGGAGTATACATTTTCCATCCTTGTCTCATTCTTTCTGCAAGGGAGGTTAATTACGAAAACGAAATAGAGAGAGAGGAAAACACTCAACAAGTGCCGAGATGAAGATCTGTTCGTCTTGGATAGTGCCAGCAAACTTCGCATTGCATATACCGCCCAAAGGGCCGATCATGGACGCACGTACACCGCTCAGAGATTCTTTTTACTGTGCCCCTGCTTCAGCTTGACAAAATAAAACAATTGCTTCGTTGGCAAGTAGTCTTTTTCAAGGGAAGGGGTAGTTGTGTTAGCGTTACGACGTTGAAGCGAGGAAGAAGTGAAAGAAGAAAAAAAATTGGATCCTGTTGATATTATTCCCCGAGGAGACTAGGGGAAGCAAGAAGGAGAAACCCGAGTTGCTGGGTAAAAATCTGCAAGTGCCAGGGATAGGGAAGGAAGGAAAGAGAGGCTGGGATTTCCTCCCCGTCGTCGGTATCATCAGCCTCGGCTGCAGCCTCGCCTGAGGTCGTCATGGAGCAGTCATTGCTTTAGGTAAGGTAGTATTCTATCAACGGCCTTGCTTGTGACTGCTACTCTGACAAGAGCCGAGATTTCTCAAAGTGAATGTCAATGTTTCATCCTCAACAAATATACAGTTTTCTTCTTCAATTCCTATTGTCTCGTGATTCTGTCGAGCAGACTTCCATCTCGATCAACAACAACTCAATCTCGCCTTGGCCGGTCACGGTCGTCGTCGTCGTCTAAACCAACATTTGCAAACCATGTCCCTGACCTTGAAGCCATCTCGACTCTGCACGCCCCCCTCCCCTTGCTTCAAGGTCTAGGGGTCCCTTGTCCATGTCCATGCAAGATTCCCGCTCCCATTTTTGATCAATTTCGTTGTTCTCTAGATACACACCCTCTCCACTCCAAGTCCCAATGCTTCGGTCCCGGCTTTCCGCCTGCATTAGTCCGGCGTCGCACCAGAACGAAAAAGGGATAGAGTCAAAAAGTCCAGGGGTTAAAGTAGCCGGGGGAGAAATGCAGGTTCAGGAGGAGCCAAAGCGAGCTGTCACTGCGACATCTTGCATTAGCTGAGGTGGCCCGATTTCCGCCCCCAGGGGTTTTGTTGCTGCTTCCATTCTCTGAGGTTCCTTCTGGCGCGGCTCCAGAAGCTTTGCTTTTTATTTGTCCCTTTTTTTTCTTTCTAATTCCGCCTTGCCTGGATGGTATCCGTGTGGTTGTTGCCTCCTGCCTTTTCTTGCCATCAAAGAAGACTCGTCATTTGTCACTGCTTGTGGCATCCACTTTTAACCCTCAGCCTTTCCCAAACTTTCCGCCCAAAAGGCAAAGGCAAAAGAAAAGAAGCTTGAGACAACAAAGCCATGGTGGTTATAGTTTTGTTTCCGCCTTGTCATTGCTTCTTCTGTTTTGCTATTGTAAAAATTTTCTTGCATTTTTTGTTTTTCTGATATCTGATTCAGCCAAAAAAAACTAAAAAAAAAAACTTGTCTTCTCTCAATGAACTTGTAGTTTCCTCTATTGTCGTCATCAAGTGCAACGCAACCTCTTTCACGGCTCGGATCGCTTGTGATCCGTTCTCAAGTGCCTCCGAGGCCGAACCAACCGACGTCAGATCTTGCTTGAATTCCTTTTTTACATTGCTTTTCTTTTCGCTTCGCTTCACGCTCGATCCGCGTCGCTTCTGGCGTCTCGGTAGTTGTCTCTATTCTCTCAACTTATCCTCGATCTACCTCGGGGAGTACTCATCCCGTCGCCTCGGCGGTTAATTGCGTTTCCTTCCCTTCCCTTCCCTTCCCGTCAACATTCAAAGACATTTCGTATCATCTCATCGTCGCGTTTCACGGTCCGTGTTCGAGTTCGCGCGCGGGAACCAAGCAAACCGAACAAAACGGATGAGCCTCGGCTGTTGCGTGCGTGCGTGCGTGCGTGCGTGTACGTGGTGTCACGAGCCCGCCTGCATCGTCCAACGACACACAGATTGTAAATGAGCGGTCCCGTCCTCCATCTCCTTTAAGTGTGTGCGTGCGCAGGTCGCGGGCGCGGGATGAGAGGTGCAAGCGCATCGGGAGTGGCATGTTTATGAACCGTCGTTAGCCCACAAGTCAACTGGTGATGCTGACCGAGCGGCATCAATTATGGCAGTGCATGCAGTGATGATTGTAATCGTGATGGAAACAAACATGACATAGCTACATTGTAGTAGTATTCTCTATCAAGAATGTCACCACACCCACACCCACACCCACACACACAGACACTCACACAGACACATCCATCGTCATCAACGGCCATGAAACGGGCAAGCCTCAAAAAAAGCTCAACCCAACGGGGATGCAATCCGAAGCCCGAGCGAACGAGCTCGAGCCCTCCCCAGGCGAAAAACTTTGAGTAGCTTCCCATTGGATCCAATCCTTTCCATCACCCCGGAACCCACTGGAAGGGAAGCCCTTCCCCGCAAGGCTCCAGCTCTCTACTCTAGGGCCTCTTGGTTGCCCAGCGCCGGATTCAGTCCCGCGTCGCCGTCATGACTGATGACCCCCCCCTGAAAGTCAATTCCACCATCCCAACCAAAACTGGCTCTAGCCCGTCGAAGCCAACGCCTACAGCTTCTTTGCCATGTTCCATACTGTACTCTACTAACTCGTCGTCCCCCCTGGTGTCATCATTTCGCACGAGGCTGTTTTTGCTAAATTAACTTATAACCAACCGTGAATCCCAGCCCAACAAACATGAAGGAGATTTGAGAGCGTCTATCTGTCTGTTACCTGGCCATCCGATCCAATTATTACGCGCCTCTATCTCATCTCGTTGATTTACCCTCTCATTTCTTGGACCGTACTGTAGATTACCTGTTGCGGCCCAATCCACCAGGGGCCAACTCAACTCTATTTTGCCTTTACTCCATCACCTCTGCTCTGCTCTCCAGCATGATTAGCTTCTGCCTAGACCTTGCTTGACTCCTCACGCTCGTTCGTATTTTGCGCACAGCGTCATCACCACTCACTCAATGCAATTGTGATTCCCCCTCTCATCACTTCGTCGTAAGCAAGCATTCCAATTCAAGGGGGCACGCACCCGAGCAACCCGCGCCCACAACACAACACAACCAACGAGTCCTCCCGTCTCTTGGGTTTGTGCTACTGTACCGTACTGTACTTGAATCCTCGCCCAGGAACCGTGGCAAACATTTGTACCCCAGCTTTCTCGGCTCCCCAGCCCTCGTCATCATCCTCCCCTTGTCCCGTCACACAAACCACGGCTCCAAGCATAGCAAACAATTTCTCTCGTCCAAGCATTTCCATCCCCACTCAATTTATCTCGCCTCGACATTGCTAAATCAGGCAAACACGGCGAGCCGACTCCGATCTCAAAATAGAATAGATGTCATATTGTTGTCACTTTTGCAAACATGAAACAGGAGCAGCAGCTTGTTCTTGAAGTAAATCCATTATTTGTTATAGTTTATCTCATAAAACCAGGACGTTTGTCTTTCCTTGCGCGCTGTGTAGCTAGCTGTCTTCCGTCTTAATAGATACTATACAGTCTAGAGGTTGAAAGGGGGAAAAACGCGTGGGGGTATCTTCTATCAATGTCCTGAGTCCAGCCCAAGTGCTCAGCTCACCGAGGCGCTGAGGCATCACTTCTCTTTTTCCCCCTTTCCTCTTCCTCATCCAATAGTCTTGTCTTGTACACCAATACAGAAATAGTACAGGGGAATACCGGCCAACATGAAACCACAAGAAATCCCTTTTGCTGACGACCCTCCCGCGAGGGATCCAAGGCCAAACAGCTAACCCAATAGTAATAAAAAAAATTCGTCAAAAAAAAAAGTAAAGGGAAGAGAAAAGAAGAAACGAGAGATACAGGCCAAAAGGGGAACCTCTGCAAGCAAGGGGGTTGCGAAAAGAGAGAGCAGAGCAAAAAGCAGAGAGCGAAAAAGCAAAAACCACAGATCCCAAGTCTATATGCAAGTGTCGAAAAGCAACAGTTTTTTTTCTCCCAGCCCGTTCCCATTTTGTAATACCTTTCCATATCCCCATGTCGAGTAAAACTCCCAATAAAAAATCTTCACCCGAGGCGGTCGCTTTTCTTCTGCTCACTGCATGTCTCTCGCCATCTCGGTCTGTCTTCGCTTGGCTTTCGGTCGCCCAATTCCAAATCGTACTGGGCTCGCCAACCCTTGTCTTGTCTTGTCTCGTCGGTGGCCGATCTGAGACATCCCCATCCCGGTTGGATCTGCATTCCATTCCGGCTGAAGACGCCCTTGACGTGAGTGGTGCTGAAAGTTTGGGTTGCCTATCGAGGGAGACCATGTGGAGACCGAGGACGACGACTCGAGCCGAGGGTGGTTGCGTGTGCGAGTGCGAGTGTGTGGTTGTTGTGAAAAAGACGCCAGGCGGAAAAGGAAAAAACAAATCCCAAAATTTTGTCCCGTCTATGGTCAAACGCCGCGT